CAGAAAAAAAGCCTATTTTAATATAGTTGTCCAAGCTGAAACACAATGCAGACACTGTATAGTACAGTCCTAAACAGCGGAAATGGTGACAAACTACCGGTAGTTATTTTCAAGTACTCAATAGTGAGTCTTTATATTACAGGCAAATAGTTTTATAAATCCTATTTAATTTAAAGTAAGGAGAATAAAATATTCAAACTTTGAGTCTTTTCATTGGAAGAAGAGTCTCTTTGGGAAGATTTTTATTAGAGGACAGGCTGAACTAGATGATGGCAAGATCCTTCTCATTCTGTCTGTTTTCACTTCATATTAAGTCTGTACTAATAAGCCCCAGATATTAAAGTATCAGCTGAAATTTTGCCCACAAGACTTAACTGTCTTCTCTCATCTAGATTATGCCAGCACAGAATGGGCTCTAAATATTAGGGAGAAGCTGCTAGGTCAGTTTTGACGTATTGGTGTAATAACACAAATTACTTCTCAGGTTCTGGATGTAGAGACAGTAATGGAATGGTTACATAAAATTATTTTTAACACTTGCAGACTCTGTTGGTTGGCCTTGACTGTGGAACAGCCTACTTAAAAATTAAATTAATGGGACTTGTGTGGAATTTTAGGTACACAAAATTTAAATGTGGTTAAGTGCGTTCCTGGGAGCAGCAACGCCTTCAGAGAGACTGAACATGAATCTTGAAACCTCGCACATTTTATTCGTACAGAGGTTACCAGACTTTTTTCTTATGGTAGGGTCCTTACTTTTCATAAAGTATATCATGGATTACGTAATTGAGAATGGGAAGATAGGTAAACTGCTTGCTTCCCATTAACAATTGCCTAACATCCCTGTGGTAAGTAGAACAGTTACTTGCAGTAAATACTTACTTTTCTATATATTATTAGCTTCACTGAATGCAGGTTAGCTACTAGAAGTGAAGAGAGTCAGCAGCACGTGGCCCAATTTGCTATGCAGACTACAGTTTGGGGATGTCTGTATTTGAAACTTTGAAACATTAGCAGTGAGTTAACCTGACTCTCTTTATTCCCTTTCAGCCAGTGAGGACTCTATACTGAAATGAACAAATTGCATTGGACCTCATTTTCATCTTCAGCAAAATCTGAAGCCTTGAATTAGCTATGTTAAGTTCATTTAAGCACTATATTTACTGTTTCTGTCAATAAATACTTGTGAACCATATTAATTCATTGATTTTTGCATATACTGTACAAAGTACAAGTAAGAGGTATTGATGTAATGTAGGAAGAAGCAGATATTCCCTTGTGTATCTGGTAACGAATCAATAACATCCCTCATGCTAAAGTGACCCCAACGTGTCTAAAAATGCAGAGTCACTAATTGTGGCTCTGACTTGATGGGTGAAAGCCAGTTTAACCATGGTTAAAATCATTGCTACAGCATAAGCCTACAACTCCTGTATTTAACCATGTATTCAAATTCAGAACTGCTTTTCCAGTGTCAAACACCAGATTGGCCTGCCTGTTGGGAAGACACAGTTCTCATTATGTTACTGAGTGATGGGTGTTTCTAAAACTGTCTTGAAAATGAGTTTTTTCTAATGAGTAAATCAAAGAGACAACATTGTAATGGGCAACAAAGAGTCCTGTGGCACCTTATAGACTAATAGATGTATTGGAGCATAAGCTTTCGTGGGTGAATGCCCACTTCGTCAGATGCATTCACCCACGAAAGCTTATG